GTTTGACCGAGACTCCATGTCTGAGATGAGACTGACTCAAGAGGAGCGCTGGCTAGACAGACACAAACACAAGCCTCTACTTCCCTGTCTGGTGCTTTTGGGAAAAGCTGCTAATATTGTTTCTTCTGTATCTGAACTATATGTGACAACGTTCATAATAAGAATAACTTCCCCAAATGGGGTGCACAAGAAAACATATCGCATTAAAAAATGTACTTAAAGGAATAGTTCACCCAAAAATGAAAATTTTATGAAAATGTACTCACCCTCAGGCCATCCAAGATGTAGACGAGTTTGTGTCTTCATCAAAACAGATTTGGAGAAATTTAGCATTAAATTACTTGCTCACCAATGGATCCTCTACTGTGAATGGGTGCCGTCAGAATGAGAGTCCAAACAGCTGATAAAAACATCAAAAGTAATCTACACAACTCCAGTCAATCAGTTAATGTCTTGTGAAGTGGAAAGCAGCATGTTTGTAAGAAACAACTCAATTGTTAAGGAATTATAACTTTAAACCATTGCCATCTGGTCAAAATACCATAATAATCCATAATAATGCTTCCTCCATAGAAAAAACCGACTCAAGAGGAGCGCTGGCTAGACAGACACAAACACAAGCCTCTACTTCCCTGTCTGGTGCTTTTGGGAAAAGCTGCTAATATTGTTTCTTCTGTATCTGAACTATATGTGACAACGTTCATAATAAGAATAACTTCCCCAAATGGGGTGCACAAGAAAACATATCGCATTAAAAAATGTACTTAAAGGAATAGTTCACCCAAAAATGAAAATTTTATGAAAATGTACTCACCCTCAGGCCATCCAAGATGTAGACGAGTTTGTGTCTTCATCAAAACAGATTTGGAGAAATGTAGCATTAAATTACTTGCTCACCAATGGATCCTCTACTGTGAATGGGTGCCGTCAGAATGAGAGTCCAAACAGCTGATAAAAACATCAAAAGTACATTTTCAGCATTTTTGGGTGAACTATTCCTTTAATGGCAAGTATTGTACACTGTTTAAACATAAATCTTAGGGTCCCACCAACAAAAAGTGACATCACATACAAAAACCCATTGCATTTATGAGATGTGCTCACTAATGTAGTGAACCCGAGTGTGAGTAAAAAATGCAAAACCTTCTCTGGGTTCATCAGGTGTGGGGAATGCAAACAGTGACTTCACATGCCAGCTCAGTGGGTATTCCTAACAGGATTACAACAGAGATAGATCACTGAGATTGAGTCTGAACAGCCTAACTGTCCAGACAGGCTCTATTACAGCTGCCAGATTACACTAAACATGACAAATCAACAAATGAACTCCTTAAGAAAAACTACTGACAGATGTAGAACGAAAACCAGAGGGAGCGCTGCATGAACTATTCAGTCAAGTTTAAGAAAAGTTTAAATGCATGCTAATGCAATGCAATATATGCAATAATATATGTATTGTAATAATACTTGCCTACAAAAAAAGTAGTTATCAGAAGACATGGCTAAACTAGCTAAAGTATCTACCAGCAGGAACTAACTGGACCATGCTAACCAGGAAAACCTTGAAAATGTACTGCATTTTAGCACTAACCTAGCTGCAACTGCTTTCGTTTGAGAGTGTGTTTTAGATGCATTGCTCCATCTCTAAGTCTGTCCATTATCCAGACCCAGTGACTCAGGGCCTGAGCACAGGCAGAAGCACCACAGCCCCGCTCGGCATCCGAGGAGAGCCAAAGAGAGCATAAAAAAACAAGAATTAGCAGTGAAAAGAGCAAATAAATAGGTGCTTCTACTTGAAAAGCCTGTAACAAAGCCTTTTGAGGACCTGAGAGACAACATGAGAAAGAAAGAGGGAGAGAGAGGAAACAAGTGTTTTGTCACTCAGCCAGGAGCTGGTGGAGGGGCAAAGCACCACACAGGGCCATTTCTAAGGGAAAGCTTTTAATGAAGCCCAGGGGGAAAGGAGAGCTCATCAGACTGAGACACATCCTCTAAGATCTCTCTTTTCCTCACACACAGATTTTATATCACATACATTCACATATACGTACTCTAAAGCTCTTCCTCTAGACTTTTAACAAGAGCAGTGCAGGATTTATGCTCCTGTGAGGGTTTTTGCACTGATATGCATTTCACCTGAGGCTACAATTCCTAAGTATATCCTATACTTCCTTGTCTCCACCTACGCAACCAGCTAACCAATGACCCATAAGCCTGAAGGGTTTTACTATACACTGTAAATCACTAGTTAAAGCTCTCCAGTGTCTCGTTGACCTCATCTTGACCCTAGTGGCAACCAAAAATGACCCCTCTTCAAATCAACAAAACTAACAGGGGAAATGCCACGTTTATCATCTAAAAGTCAATATTTAGTGGTGTTAACCCATGCAAAACTTGTCACCATGTTGCTTACTGGCTCAAGTTACATCCATGATAATTCTGTTCCCTAGATACGGCTTGAGTACTTTCTTTAATGCATCTTATTTTGCTTTGATTTATCATCCAAAAGACCTAAATCTTAAGTGCAAAACACCTGATCACTTGTATGATTTGTACAAGCAAAATGCACAAAAATAATTGCTTTAGCAAAACACCAGAAAACAAAAAATATAAATCAACATTAAGGATATGATAAGAATGCCAAATGCAACTGGTTGCCATTTAGCACGACAATCCGTTTGCCAGCATACCCCTTGCATCCCGATGAATGTCAAATATAGGGTTTTACTGTTCAGTAAATTGTAGAAAATGGAAAATGACTTGGATTTCTAACCTCTGAATGTGTCAAACATTGCTTGCAGACATAGAGGCCTGTGGCAAAAGCCCTGGTTTAGTGTCATTACCTTCCCTCATTATAGTATTAGCTCTATAAAATGCCCTTGTTGTTTGGGAGGAATACTTACTCGGCTCATACACACAAATAGTGACCCAATGTGGACACAAACCCAAGTGAAGCATAGATAAGGACAATTGTCTCAAATATAGGAAGCTAAAAGCTGCTCTGTCCCTGGAATGCTGACAGATGGACAGGAACATTCTTTAGCAGCATTTCGGTCCATCTTCGAATCTGATTGGTGTCTAGGATCGCATATTCTACTGTTCGGCAATGCTGACAGGAAGCGAGAAATAATGAGGAAATACAGAGAGAGAGAAGGCAATTTAACATCACTTGCACCATGCATGGAAGTAGAGAGGTGTGGGCAAAAAAGGAGGAAGACTTGCCAATTACGTTGTGCTCAACCTCCTGCTCCTCCATTATGGAGCTCTTTCCTTTCACAGTGCTGTCTGGCTCTCAGCGTGGCCTCTCTGATTGTGTGAGGCGTCACTGTCTCACTGATAGAATGAGATCCTCAAGCTGCATAACTCTACATCATACCTACATATTGTAAAATAGCGAATATCTGAAATTAAAGAATGCAGAAGAGTCAAACAGTAAGGAAGAATCATTCCTTGCATAAGCACTGTGCTCAAACATGGATAGCGAACAGCTGTTAAAATGTATCATTTGAAGTGTAGCTACATCAGAATGAGAGAGACAGATAGTCATATAAATAGAGAGACAAAGATAGTCAGACAGACTACAGATAAACAGACAGACAGACAGACAGATAGATATATAGATAGACAGAAGGACAGAACGATAGATATGAGACAGACACATCAATTTACGCAGTATCACGCAGTACAATGTCAACATGTTTTCCAAGCCAATCATTTAGACTTGGTATTGATGTTATTCTGTAAATAACACTTACAGACAGAAGGACAGAACGATAGATATGAGACAGACACATCAATTTACACACAGTAAGATGGGTAGATAGATAGACAGACTGATAAATGTTGAGTCTATTGAATGGACTTTAGTTTGGCGACCTAGTTTTCCCAGACTTCCAGCTCTCTGTGATTCTCCCTCCAGTCATCCCTGTGTCCATCAAGTTCATTAGTCCCTCATCATTCAGGAGAGACGGCCCAAATCACACATTGTCCTGCAGAAAAGACATGTTCTCATAAGCCCATTACGTCTGAGATCTCAGAGTGGCATCTGCGTCCATCAGAGCTGGTCATGCCACGGTCTCAGGAACAATGTCCTCTCCTCAGGACCAGTGTGGGATCAGTGCTGAAGAACAACAGGCTATTTGCTGCCATTTTCCAGCACTGTGCAAAGCCTCTTTACATCATCACAGACCAAAAATATTCGCACAGAGACTGAAACAATCAAAACAACTAATAATAAAGAAAAAAATGAAAACACTTAAAAATTAAATTAAAATAAATTGATTAAAAATTATGCATCATGCAGTACAATGTCAACATGTTTTCCAAGCCAATCATTTAGACTTGGTATTGATGTTATTCTGTAAATAACACTTACAGTATGATATAATGTTAACTATTCAGTTACATAATATAAGAAAAAATCCTTCAATAACATATCACAATAATGTGTAAATGACAGTGCAACATGATTCAAACATTTTCATACCGTCGGTCAATTTCAGCTGAGAAACTACTGCTGTTAAAGTAGATAACACTGAAATGGCCAATTAGCTCAAAAGTTTTTTTTTTTACACTAAAATCACTGATTGAGTGTGAAAGTTGAACTGAGAGACTATATATGCAGCACGCTGGCTCTCATTACTTCAGCTCTGTTTCAATCATCTCATGCAGAGCTGACATGAGTCTAAACAAAAATGTATTGCAAAATACGATCACAGGCTGAAAGAAAACATCCCTCAAATGTGAATTCAAATGAACCCTAGGGACACAGGGTTAACTGGCTTATTTAAATTCATTTTGAACGTCTTAACGGATTCTGACTTACAAGACAGAATGATTTATTCAAGATGCAAATCTAAGCAAAAGTTTTGAAAGTGGCTAAATTTGAATGAAACATGCATTGAATGATATACTAAATAAAAGTCAATAAATAAGTGTAGATACAGTGACATATCACATTTCACAGCTTGCTTATCTCATGTTGTGTTTTCACTGTGCAGCCTTAGGAATCCGCAATGTTCCAGTCATTCTCCGGTGTTCAATCAGAACCTGCAAATGAACCCTAGGGACAGGGTTAACTGGCTTATTTAAATTCATTTTGAACGTCTTAACGGATTCTGACTTACACGACAGAATGATTTATTCAAGATGCAAATCTAAGCAAAAGTTTTGAAAGTGGCTAAATTTGAATGAAACATGCATCGAATGATATACTAAATAAAAGTCAATAAATAAGTGTAGATACAGTGACATATCACATTTCACAGCTTGCTTATCTCATGTTGTGTTTTCACTGTGCAGCCTTAGGAATCCGCAATGTTCCAGTCATTCTCCGGTGTTCAATCAGAACCTGCGACTAATGTAGCAAACCAGCAGAACCAATGGGTCCCGGGGCCCTCGTTCTCCTCCTGCTCCTACTCCTACAACACCAATTTGAACCCGGGCCCCTACCACAGCAGTCAGCCCTCCACCTGGCCTTGGACTCGATGGGAGGTATGCGAAATCTCTGACACATCATTTTGTTTTTGCTTGATGGCATTTAAAGGAACAGTTTGTTTCTTCTTCGGAACAGATTTGGAGAAATTTAGCATTCAATCACATGCTCACCAGTGGATTCTCTGCAGTGAATGGGTGCCATCAAACTGCTGATAAAGGGTCTGTAGGAAGTGTTATTACAGACTCGTATTTTGGGCAGAAGCGTTGGTTCTGTTAAGAAGTTAAAACGCCTTGATGGATTTTTTTCATACAAACATGCAGCTTTTTATGTCACAAAACATTAACTGTCAGACCGGAGTTGTGTGGAATACCTGTGGATTATTGTGATGTTTTTATCAGCTGTTTGGACTCTCATTCTAAGGGCACCCATTCACTGCAAAGGATCTATTGCTGAGCAAGTGCAATGCTAAATTTCTCCTAATCTGTTCCGTTGAATTAAACTCCTCTACATCTTGGATGGCCTGAGGGTGAGTACATTTTCAGCAAAATTTCATTTTTTGGTCAACTATTCCTTGAAATAGTGAAAAACAGAACATTATGTTGATGTGTTAATCAGTTGGCATATAAAGTGCCATATAAAGCATGAAACACAATTTAATTTCCAGTCAAATCTATATAAACAATTCTTAGATACCAGGAATAAATTTCATTAGCAGCACTTGCTATATGTGCATGTAAATATATAATTAACGTGTGAAATGCATTGTGCAAAATCAGTCTTTTTTTCTTTCTGCCGCATTGATACTTAACCCCATAATGTGATTATAGACGCATGCCTATGTCTGCACATTTGAGCCAGAAACCACCCAAACAGCCCTTTGTGTCCCAGGACTCATTTGTCTGGAATTCTGATGCTGTGGATTTGCTGGTGGTTTTGTTTCAGAGCATAATTCCACACTATGTGCTGACAGAACAGAAGACCTCTGTTACTGTAATCACACTAGTCACATTTGACAAGTGTTTATTTTGACTGTAAAAAGCAAAAGGTCCTGAACTGGGCTGTGAGTTTGTTTCTATATATGACCAGTCCTTCTCTTTTCATTCTTTATTTTTATTATTATTATTATTATTTTTTTGGCAAGGTTGCTTGCTTTTGAATAGCTCAGGAGATTAACTGAGTTTTCAGTTATGTTTTATAAACATATCAACTTTGTTTCAAACATCTCTCTTTTTTTTGGAGAAATGCACTGTCACTAAAAGTTGACATACTGACATACAGTAATAGAGCTATAATATAATAAGCTTTCCATTGATGTATGGTTTGTTAGGATAGGACAATATTTGGCCGAGATACAACTATTTGAAAATCTAGAATCTGAGGGTGCAAAAAAATCTAAATATTGAGAAAATCGCCTTTAAAGTTGTCCAAATGAAGTTCTTAGCAAGTGGTCCAGGGTCACATATAATACATTTTTATTATAAAATTTACCCAGATTTATTACAGATAACTATTTACATAGCTAACTATATAGTTATATATTAACTATACTGTATATATATATATATATAAAAATTTTTAACAAAAAATCTAATAAAATAAAATAAAATATTCTAAAAAAAAAATTTGTGATAATTTGTCAATGAGTTATGATCTGCTTAAATTGATCAGTCAGAAGAAAAACACACTTCAGCTGCACTTTTAAAAACTGTCAGAAGGAGAAAGCTAGAAATCAGGTTTTCAGATGGAAAAGCAAAGCAACAGTCAGTTTTAGGGTGTGGAAAGGGAATAGAAGAGGCTGGAGCACATCAAAGCTGCCTTGTGTTTGCTCTGGTCCACAAGAGGTCTTTCATGTGTTCAAGTGTGTGTGTGTATGCGTCTGTGTTTTGGTGTGGGGCTGTGTATTTCAAACACTGCAGCACTACCTGTGTTTGGAGGAAAGAGGCTCGTCTCTCTGAATCGCACTGTCCCTTGAGGCTACGGCAGACATACACACACACACACACACTTTCACTCAAGAAGAGACTATCTATTACTGTGTATCTACACGCCCCCCACCTGAGTTTATCCTGAGTGTGTCAGAGGCAGGTCGTGGAGCCGAGGGGTTATGGGAAGACGGAGCTGTGGGGGGTGCTGTTTGGATCCCGACTGACTAATAGGACCAAAGCAGATAGAGACCACCCACCCCATCTGGCTCAGATTCAAACTCTGTCTGACATCCTGCGACCCACTGGACTGGCAGTAACAGATTGCATCTGTGAAAGGCACAATTAAAATGCTCGACACAGCGGATGACTGGAAACATAGTGCTCTGTGCTAAATATAGTCAAGTGTCAGCCATCAACATGTATGGCCCTGTAAATGGCTGTCAAAAACTATCCTGAAATATCATAAATGGTTTAAAGTTGGCAGAAAAATTTAAATTCACCCTATTTTCTAAATGCATGTTATTGTGAACGATTTATCAGCGCATGTTTCTTTTTCTTTTTTAATTTGTAAACCCCAGTCATTGTGATCAATAGAACCCAATGGTGAGTCACTGCCAGGGTTATTACATTTAACTAAAAAAAAAAATAATAATAAAAAAAAAAACACCTTTTCATTACTTGAAATAGACATTAACTTAAATAATATGTATACAAACTTTTCAGCTAGTTGCCAAGCCAAAATTTCTAAAAAACCAAACCTTATAAAAAATAATTAACTAAAATGAACTATAAAAAACAAAAAACTATATAGGCATATTTAAATAAAAGAAACTACTATAAAAGACAAAAAACACACTACAAAATTACTAAAACGTTTAAAAGAAATTAAAATGAAAACAGAAAATATGAAAATGAATTCAAAATATTAAAGGGGTCATGAACTGAGAAATCAAAAATCCCTTAATCTTTTGACAAATAAGAGGTCATTGTGCTATAAAAATGTCCTGTAAGTTTCAGAACTCAAAGCGTTCTCGTTAGTCTAAAAACAGCTTATATTGAAGCCAGTCTGCCAAAACGACAGCTTGTGTAATGTGCCACTTTATGACGTAATAGTGTGGCTAAACCCCGCCTCCGCAGAAAAAGAAAAACGTCTGCTTCTACATCACTGCCTGTTTAGCCCCGCCCACCGATTCTTCATCACTGCCTGTTTAGCCCCACCCACTGATTCACGCATTTAGTGTAAATAACCAGAGAGAAGCAAACGCAGGTCTACACAGAAACCAGTGTAGAAACAGTGCCGTGTCAGTAAGAACTTGGTCCTTTGTTCACTTAATTTTACCAAGGATTCGTTTACAAACAAGGCACAATTCGACACAGGCTTTTCAGAAAGATTGAAACTAAAAGTCGATGCTGTGCTGACTATATTGGATCTGACAGTAATGTCGCACCACACAACTGGGAGTAACTGTTTTTATTACGTGGTCACTATTGCTTTGTCTGTTATTATTACCGATCGTTTGATATGTACTGAGTATTTATGCATTCTAAATTATGATGTTTTTCTAGGTAAAAATCTTGGTAACATTGTAAGTTGATCTCAGAGATCAGTACAAAATAATAAAAAGGTGTAGGCTGTCAAACATACACAACTGTGAGCCAATCATAGCAGTGGGCGTTTAGTTCAGAGTCTACAATCAGCCATGCCTATTCAAACAGAGCGTTCTGATGAGGGGGGCCAAAACAGGACAGAAAATAACCTATTATATATTTATAACCTAAATAGTTTTTTTTAAATGTAAAAACGTTATAAGTGGACTATAGAAAACAGTACAAAAAAGGCAGTTCATGGCCCCTTTAATAAAAACTACAATAAAATATCAGTGATACTAAAATAACACCTGTCCTTGTCCTACATTTTATTATTTTTGGCATTGAACTTGGCATTATGTATTTATAGAATTGCATATTTGTATGGTATGCAAATAAATCTGATATTTATGCACTCACAGTATGAAATCTATTTTGCAATGAACAGGCATTGCTAAAGCAGGGTGGGTGAAGCACAGCTTTAGAGAAACATGGTGGCGTTTATCATCACAAAAATGATCTCTGATGAACTCAGTTGTCCAGGACAAGAAGAAATGTCTGAAAAGAAAGAAAGAACGACAGATGGAAGGAAAGATGGAAATAAAAGCAGGGGAAGATGAACACATCCATTTCCACCCAATCATTGTGAATCAGCAGTGAGAGGAAACTGTATTAGCAGCATTGATTATGACAAACAGCTTGTCATCCATTGCAACATGAGATGGGGTTTTTCCAGGACAGCCGAGTGACTCAGTCCTGTGTCGTAACTGTTCTCCCTTTCTAGAAATGACTGACTCTGATCAGAAGTACTCTTGATCAACTACAACATTTGCAAATGAACAACAAGGACTGACTTCTGCGGTTTGGTGATGTTGCGCGTTCTTTCCGTGTCTCTTTGATCCGTCAGGGTCGTTTCCTGCTAATAGGATTGAATCAGCGGTCTTTTAAATTCTATATATTGTGTGTAAAAAACAGAAATCTGTTTATCTGTTTGACCTCCCTGAATTACCCTCTTTGTCCAGATGCTCCAGACATCCCTTCATCTTTTTCAAGAAAAACGAGGAATTCAAAAGGTCAAAAGAATTTGTAGCATTAGTTATTATA